TATTGACTAACGCACGTTACTTACGCAACCTTTGTTTATCTATAAGAAATCGATTGCAAACCACAACCAATTTACTAAGAACCCCCTCGTACATCAATCGCTTTGGATTCTGTACGAAGGGCAAAGGTCCATCCCTACTGGGTATTGCGGGACAACCAGTTTGAAAAGACCTCCTTTATCAAAGAATTTGTAAAGTTGAAGGGGTGTTGTCAGGATGGATGGTGTCAGTGTGTGGCCACACCTTAGTGTAAGTCATAGGCAGGTGGTGTGTGTGGCTAAATAACAGTTTGTTTTATGTGGTAAACGTCAATTAATTATAGTAGCTAGTCATCCATCTTTTGTTTTTGTGTAACGGCAGGGACGTGTTTTTGTGTTTAAGTTTAGCTTGGATTAGTTTAGTTTAATCTTATCCTAATAATAGAATGATTACACTGATAAATATCTCAGTTTCTATTTACTATCTAAAGTTTCAGAATATAGTAGAACACGTGACATATCTTACTAAAATATTTCATTTATTAATCATCGAGTCGTTGTGATAATTTGAAATAAAAAACCGATTTCTAAAACTCAAATACCAAACACCAACAAAAGGTAAAAACTAAAAAATAAAAATTAACTATTAAGTATTAGTCATACGTATCTACTTATAGGTTACCCACCTCATGATAGGTAAGAAGTAGGTGCCACAAGTTTTAAACCAAATTATTAATTAAAAACATAGTAGATATCTTATATTATTAAGCTATGTACAATTAAGTGAGTGTGACTCTTAACTTATCAGTGTGGGTGACTTATCAGTAGGGACGTATGACAAATAATAGTTACTTTTTACTGTTTAGTTTTAATGTGAATGGTAATATGTAAGGTGTAAAGTCCTCATCAATATGTATTAATCAAACCCAAACACAATGTAGCTGCTGTTAACCGTTGAGGAATTCCCTCATCTATCGTACTCTTTTATCTTCAGACCCCTAATTATAGCTACACTCCATCTAAGTGTAAAGTTCTCAACACCCCCTACAATTTTTAAAAGTTACTCTCTATTTTCCTGGGATCCCATCATCGGATCCTGAGCTGGTAACCTTCCTAACAAAAAATAATCATTCAAATCCGTCCACAGGTAATCGGGAGTAATCGCGTAACATACACAAAAAAAAACATACAGCCGAATTGACAACCTCATCCTTTTTGGGAAGTCGATTAAAAATACATCACATTGTTATAAAGTACTAGAACTCAAAGAGTATTTAATCAAAACTATATGAAACGACACCCGCGCAAAGATATGACCTGATAACGTCCAGGTTTCCGATAAGGATGCAGTACTCTTCCAACTTACAGACGTCCTGTAGCAGACTTGATGATGATCATGCTGTGTATGAACTCCTCAAATCCCTCAACAGGACTGCTGTAAACCAACGCATCAATTTTGTTATCTTACACAACATGGATATCTGTGTAGCTCTAAATATTTTATAACAAACTAATGCGCCATTTTTTGACTTTGATTGATCTAGCTGATGGTAGTTGGACAAATCACGTCCATATATAGGCTTTTTAAGGGGGGAAAATCATCGAATGACTGCTCCTGCCTGGGTGAGGCGGAAGGGAATATCTCTCTCTCTCTCTTGCTGACTAAAAACCACACCGTTCCTTCTCCTGCACGTCGAACCGGAGCCCCGGTAACCCATTAAGTTCTCCGCGACAATGCATATATAGGCTAAACACTAAACGAATGGTAGAAGAGGAAATCAAAGCGTGAATTTAACATTTTCTTAATAGCATTACCTAATTAATGGTAGGCAATTGGCGTCGACCATGGACACCCACTATACAAGAAGAGTGCGTTGCGAGACTGAAGTTTTGGAGACTGATTAATGCCACTCACTGACATCCGATAAATTACATCAAGACTATTAAGAAATACAAATAAACCATTTGTCAAAAAGGGCCGTTCAGGTACTAACATATAAAATACATACAACTGTATATAATTGTTGGTAATGGAGGAGGTAGGAAAGCAATGTCACCACATGAATAATAAGTATTTAAAAAGCGTGAGCATTAGTCGTTATCGCCTGTAGGCGTTAAGGAGGGTGGGAGGGCACGCCTCGTGCACCCTCCGATTATGGCCCTTCATTGAGCTTCACTAATTACCTATGACTAGTAGACGTTCTTACCATTACACACTGGTATTGAAACTGAATTTTGTTCGTTAATTATGTATAAAATAACAACAGAATATATATTTAAACTACTTTAATTAAATACGACAAAAACACAAGGGTTTTGTTAAGCGTGTTTACGGCAAAAATCGTAGTTATTATTATTTATTTATTTAATAATTAAAGGTTCAATGTATGCCTTAAAATTTAACGCCATGTCCAACAAAACTATACATAAATAGTTTAGGTAACTGTTGGATTTTACATTAACAGATATCTGTTCGTCATGTCTCGTTTTTGAAGCATCTTCCTAATTGCGGTCGAATTTTACTTATTAAGTTAAGCCTAGGCTCAGACTTAGGACCATTTCGAAGGCCAGATAAGTCTTATAGTGTGGCTAAATTATCCTTAAGAAATCTAAATCAATCAACATTTCAAAGCAGGGCATCGCCTGCTACTTTATAGGGTGCTGACTACAATCACTGTACTTTTTTTTTCTTTCTTTCTTTTATAAACGTTGTGGTTACTAGGATTTTCTCATGTGTCGTGGGTGGGTATATAAACATACAAATTCACATACACATGACACCCAGACTAGAAACAACAATCCGTGGTTCTCAAAAAGAGTTCTTCCGTGCGGGAATCAAACCTGCGATACGGTGCGCGTTACACAGTTGCCCAGCCACCGCGCTTACCGTGCAGTCATTAGTGTACTTATTTGAGACACTGAAGAATTGTTTAGACTGATCGTTACGCCATTATCCTAGATGACAGCCACAATATTATACATCTGAGTCTACAACTTAATATACTAATTAAATCACCAAGAGTTAGACAAACCTCCAGATGTATACGTAGTATAACATAAGTAAAAACTGTTTGTAACACTCAATTTTCACTCGTTTTGTGATATGTTACTATAATTATGTAATCAAGAGTAAACCTATTGGCTAATATAAGGCACAATATCACAGTTACTCAGAATTTTTTTAAACCAAAAAAACCTCTTTATCACAAAATGAACACAAAACCCTTTGCATCCACCCTACGTATTTCAAGCAAACAGAGATTACTTCATTTACAAATCACTTTGCAAAAATTAAATCGGGTCGTCTAGGTGTCTTAGATAATGACTCTAGGATACCTAGACCCATGTGTCGGTAACCTAAAGTGCTAAATCTCCTAGCACAATAGTGTTATTTCACATTTCATGGAGACCAAACGCGTTTACAGTTGGGACTGAACGCAATAGTGACGTCATTTGTTTAGTCAAGGAAGGATTATCGAAATTGGTAAGTGATTTCATTGTTTATTTTTTTCACAACATAAGATGACGTCACGCCCTTGTATTCCTTGAAGACATAGGAAAAGATGCATGCCACATCATATCAACAGCTTATAAGTGGCCACTGCTGACCACTTTCTCTCTAAAGGTTTGAACATTAATCACCACGCTTGCTCAGTAAGAGTTGGCGATTTCAAACTTATAATTAGAAATCATAAGCCCAAGTTTCACCACAATGTTTTCATTCACCATTTTTCAGTCAGTGATGTGTAAATAATCTTAGAAAGTATATATAACTCGGAAAAAGTCACATTGATGCTTGCCGTTGATAGGTTTCGAGCCCGCACTCTCATGCATGAGAATCGGGCGTCTTAAACCACCGGGCCACCACGGCAGAGACACATTTAACAAATGTAATGACTGCCTTACAGTATTATGATAAGAGTTCCATGTGATATGGGGTGACTCTTTTATTTTCCCGTATTGTGTTGCTTAGCTTTGTATTATAACTTATAACATTATGCTATGTTGTTTAACATTGTATAGAAATGGGCCGGTAAACGAGCAGACGGATCACCTGATGGTAAGCAATCGGCATCGCTCATGGACACCTGGAATACCAAAGGCGTTACAAGTTCGTGTATATTGCATTATAGAGGTATCTTGTAAGCAGACAATCATAATACATCTACAATCATAATAAAAATCTTATATTAATTATTTTTGACTGCCTCGTTGGCCGAGTGGTCGCAAGTGTGACTGCCGAGCAAAGGGTCTCGGGTTCGATTCCCGGGTCAGGCAAAGTATTAATGGGTTTAAAAAAAAAATCTCAGTTACTACTGAGAAATTTCAGACTCCGTGCTACTGCATGGAGTCTGAAATTGTGTCCGGTATATGGCAATATGCTCACACCCTATTACATAGGACTCATAAAATAAATAGTGAAAAGTGGGTGTTACATTGTACAGTGGCATAATGTGCACCTCTGCCTACCCCATTGGGGATATAAGGCGTGATATTATGTATGTATGTATACTATTTTAATATAAAGCTGAAGATTTGTTTGTTTGTTTGAAGGCGTTAACCTCTGGAACGAATGGTCTGAATTTAAAAATTCTTTATGCATGGGATAGTCCTTTTAGCGATGGCATAGGTTATAAAACATTACGCTTATATCAGATAAGAGATGGGCAGAGCGGTTGAAACCGCATGGAAGTGGCTACTATTATGATATTGTGTAATAGATTTACGTCATGATTGTACGTTGTACGCATGTTTGTACGCACGGGTAGTTGTTTATTGTATGTAAACTAATATATTTCTTTACATAACCGTATCAAATTTTATAAGGGTGAATACAATTTTGAACATTTTACAGACTAACTTCTTTGTTAATTGTAAAAAAATAGATTGATTTTAAATAAATTTCAGTAGCTATTTTATTTAATGCGATAGGTCTATTGACTGTATTACATCTAGTCAAAGTCAAGGTCAAAGCATTTATTTCAATTTGGTACTTTTGAAACGTCAACAAATACAAAATATATAATAGTCTGTCAGTCAGTTCGTCAGTGAAGCTAGGTGAAGCTATGTACTCATCCTAAAATGTAGATTCGAATGTAAAAGAACGAGCAAGAAACTCCATTCGTTACTCTTTTAAAAAAAGTATGTTCTACAATGTCTCTGCTAAACATTCTAATACTGTACGTATATGTGAGAACAATGCAAAGACACGCTTGACGCATTATACTAACATGGTGCTCACATATGCATACTGACAATCCATAAAAATAGTGCTTCTATACAAGAAGAAACTCTTTGTTTCAATAAAGAAAGAAATGCTCGATGCCATAAGGAAACTAGATTGTCTACATTAGAATGAAAGTGTAATCTATATCTAGATTAGAAGAAAATATATATCTAGTTCACATATCGTAATAGATCACCATCCATATCAGACTTCATGCCAATTATCGGACCCAAAACAGTTTTGGTCGGCAGTCGCTCTAGCGACTACTGATGACGCAGATAATAAGGAAATCGAAATATTTCTGGTTCTAGTTGGTGTATTGTTTTGGCTGTATTTGTCAATATTACCAAAGATGAGAGTAAACAACGTAAACAAATATAATAATAGTGTGACGTCACGTCTTTTAATCCATGAAGAGGTAGGCAGAAGAGTACGTTATCTTGAGTCAAGTAATAGGGGAAGTGTTTTGCTCCTATGACGTCGGTGTCGGTGCGTTTAAAACCACAAAATTTTACATAAGTACATGTCACACACAGACCAACAAATTATGGTTGATTGTTAATTGTTTAGTGTGAGTATCGAACTCGCGTTTTGTAATTGTTCCACCTTTTTTAGGTAACCACCTTGAGTACGTGAATTATGCAGAATTATTTAGTTTTATTATTTTATTTTTTTATAGTACAGAAACAATAACTGTAAATAGTAAATCGACAACGGTAAAAAAGGGTTTTACAGCATACAATATAAGTAGTGTTAAGTATATGGTTTATGTATGTATGAATGTATGTGTGTGAGGTGGAATCATGCAACTAGATTTTGAATCAGATATCTTTAATAGATTGAGCTGAAATTTTGAATACACGTATTTTGCAATAACTTATTAAATTCCAAGCTAACTATAAAATTTTGTTTTAAGAAGATTTTAACTTAAATGAACCAATCAGAGCGCATTTTATTGAATGCATATAAAATAATATTCTTGACCATTGACCGAATCTTTGTAATAAGAAACATGTTCTAATATTATTTTATTGCAATAATTAACGAAATTCATAATATTTCCTTGATAGAGTACTGTAACCCTCCCTGGGTTCAAAAAAGGATTTGACATAGTCTGCTCGCTCATCTACCCGTGGAAGAATATCACGTGAAAGAATTTCAGATCAGACCCGATATTATTTTGTAAATGGTGCAAAGGTCAATGTACGATAAATCGTTGCATCGTTAACCGCACAGGCAATTTTATTGTCCTTGTTAGTCCATCCAGTGTCTATTTGATACAAGTATCGGATAACTGCATGTCGTTATAGGACAAATCGACTTGACCTCTTTTGAAAAATTGCCCTCTCGACGCAATTACTGTTGAGACTTTGATTTGTCTATATTGAGGGCACTGCTCCATTTGCAAAGTCCCTACCCACTAGTTATTTGCTATTTCGTCCATTTATATACGATATTTTCTTTAGGAATTAAATTGGTTACACAGTATATTAATTAGTACGTGTATCATCAACAGCCTATAAATGCCCACTGCTCTTCTCACACGGAGAAGGTTTGAGTATTAATCACCACGCTTGCTCAATGCGGGTTTGTGATTACAAACGTATAATTAGAAATAGGGTTTCCTCACGATGTTTTGTGCATGTATTGAATAAACTCTTGCCTTTATCTCATGGGTGACGCAAACTACACATTGATCGACAGTTTCTTAATACAAATATTCCTTTTTAAACTTAGTTCTCTTGATGATCTAATCAGTGATAAAAAGGATCGCTGTACACCATTTTTAAAGTATTTATATATTCAAGCTTCATGTACAAAGTGTCCATTAGGAGGACTTAATGCCGCAAGCATTTTCTCCTAGTCTTTAACTTTGCATGATGCAGAGAAGAGTAAATGGTAAGAGTAAGAAGCAAGCAACAATTTAATTGAAGAAACAGATTACGGTAAATTATATACATTTGTTATTAACGTTCTACGCCGACATATGTACGTTTCATTAGGAATATAATTAAAGATTCATTGGTGATTTAAGTCTCCGTACTTCACTGGGGTTAAATTCAAAGAGAACGATCCTATCAAATCAAACTCAATTCTCTTAAAGTTGTTCACTACCCCTATCGACTGAACGTAAACATGCTATACTTATACACGGGTGAAAGGTTCTACATTAAAGCTGGACACACAATGAATGATGAGCCTTACTTACAAGACTCGTGCGACAAATCATCCCTTAATAATCAGATAATAATAACTATTCCTAAAGTATCTAAAGTATATTTATATGGAGCCGTATTTATCGCATTTTATTATTACACAAACAAGTACTAGCAAAATAAAGTACAATGTACTTTGATATAGATTAATTTTATGCATAAATACAAAAGTTATTTACATTATATAACAAGTACAGTCAGCGACAAAGATATGAATGTAAAGTCTAACTTTGAAGAGTGTTCAACGTCACCTTCAAAAGATAGAGGGCACGATGGCTATCTAAGAGCACAAAGAATCCAAAATGTTGGTAGCAACCGTAAGCGGAACGTGTCTGCTGAACTCCCATTGAGCCTGGCCGGGATAACCCGCGCATGCTAGGCCCCGCCCCGGGGCGTGGCGGTACCTTCCGGATGCCACCCCCGCAACCCTCCCTTCGTCTCCTACGACCGGACGAGGCACCTCGCTTTTATCCCGGTTTCCTGTCGGTGGACGCTCGCTTTGCTCCGGTCTATCGATTTGTTTATTTTTTTAACAAGACAAATAGGTCAGACGCGTTCCTTCCGAGTACCGTGTTGTGTCCGTGCTGCGTCCGGCGCGTCGCCGGTGCCGTCGGAGTGACCGCGATGGACTATGTCCGGTGTAGGTGTTGCAACCTCTGCTCAGTGTCTTGTGCCGGAGATGGAGGCTGTTGAATAAAGGTGAGTCGTCTACCGGAGCCGAGGACTGCACCTTGCATTTCTAATTTTGGTATAGTTTCTCAGAGAGCATCTTCGGTCTTGTGTGTCATCATGTGGCAAATTGTAAACACATTGTAACAAATATGTAACTTGGACACCAAATTCTTTAAAATAATAATATTTTTTTCTTTTGTAGGCCAATGCAAATGTGTGATGGTCCTATAAAAACAAACCTAATTGACTACATTTTACAGGGCTGAAAATCAGTGATAAAGTCTCAAAATTAATTAAGATAAATGCATATGTATTTAAATAATATTTATAATTAAAACAGGTCTATGAAACTGTGAAAAATTCATTGGATCATCTATCAATAATCGTGTTGACACGAGTTACCTAATTATTACATTACAAAACATTGTTCTTGTTTGTGACACCTCTTATATCCATCGACGATATAATCTCAATAAATGGCACTCAGCTCAATATTATTACAATATAATTTGTATTAGATACTTGGACTCAGAGTGATTGTTAATCCCGTCCATCAGTGTAATACTTTCCGTAGTCAGTTTAAGAAAAGCTGAACTCGAAAGTGTTATTTTGTAGTCTGTGAATACAAATTATGAGAATAGATATTATTTATTCCATATTCATACATTTCCTAACTGTTACCCGCAGCTTTGAAAGCATATTCCTGTGTTATCCCATGGGAGCATTTTGAATCAGGATAAAAGAATCCTATAGCTTTAGTCAGCCCGTATCCTGCCTTTATACTAAATTTCATCAAAATCCGTTTAGTAGTTTCAGCGTGATTGACGGCCACACATTCAAACAAAGAAATTTTCATATTTTTAATATTAGTGATTCTTACAGTTACGCTCGATTTAATTAATAATATTATTTTTAATTTAAACAATTAAACCACAGCACATAAGCAAGAAACATAACGTAACATAACATCACGCCTTTTATCCCCGAAGAAGGGGTAGGCAGAGGCACACATTATGCCATTGTACAAATTATCACCCACTTTTCACTATTTATGTTACGAGTCCCATGTAATAGGGGGTGAGCCTATAGCCAAATACCGGGCACAATTCCAGACTCCGTGCTACTACTGAAAATATTTTAAAACACAGTAATACTTTGCCCGAACCGGGAATCGAGTCCGAAACCCCTTGCACGGCAGTCGCACTTGCTACCATTTAGCCAACGAGGTAGTTAAACAAAAAACCGATTCAAACTGATTAGAAACTATTTCTGCGCAGTTTCATTCACTCTGATCGGCACCTATTAATCGTAAAGTAATATTATCCTATAACCTTCCGCAATAGACCATCCAATGCAAAAAGATTTTTTCAAATTGAACCAGTAGCTCTTTGCATTCAAAGCTGCAACTTCATTATATATAGTACCAGCAGCCCGTCCCGGCTTCACACGGGGTAGACAATTCTTTATTTTTGTAAATTGTAGTGACATAACTACAATAGTTGGACATATGCTACCCCGAAGTTTTTTGTAGACATTATGATGTTCTTCAATATTGTTGTACATTATTTTGTTCTATCTCTAATAGTTTCGGCAGCGCATTCTACGAAAGACATTTTAAGACTTATTTTTCTACACCTTCGGTTACATTGTTCAAATTTTACCAAGGGTCCCTAATTTTTTCAAAATGAAGTGTAGTCTATGTCAAATTGGAAGAATGTAGCATTCTCTTGGTGAAAGATTTTTTTAAATCGGCCCAGTACTTTTTGGGTCTATTCATTACAAACATACAAACATACAAAAATGGGTACAAATCTTTCCTCTTTATAATATTATAGTATAGATGACTGTAGTCTATAGTTAAAGATTGACCGGTAGACGTCATACAATGACAATATTATAATCTGTCCATACAAGTGATCCTAATAAGCTGATGGTGATCCTCAGACAAGATGCATTCAGGATCAATTTAAGAGGATCACGTAATATATATCATCCTTGCAATTGTTAGGTGCATTGTGCGTAGTCGGTGTAACAGTAATGCTATCCGGTTGAGATACTACCAAGTACCAATAAGTGTGGAAGAGCCATGCTTCGGTACGGAGTAATACCACGACCTTACAGAAGACCGACGTGATACAACGTTGTGTTTTGTCGTTTGAGTGAGGTTACTGGAGGCCCAATTACCCCCTTTCTCATTCTCAATCTATGAATCCCCAACAATCCTCAAATTTTTAATTCCAAAAGACCGGTAACGCACTTGTAACGCCTCTGGTGTTCATGGTCCATTGGTCCATGGGCGACGCCGATTGCTTACCATCTGGTGATCCGCCTGCTCGTATACCGGTTTATCCCATAAAAAAGTTCCGTAACTGTAACTGAAACTATTATCTTAATCTGAAAGTATTTAATTATTATAATTAAATACTTATTCGTAGTTTCGTTAACCAAACAAGGACTAAAATCGATGTTTTAAACGCGGACCTTATAAGTAGGTAATAATTAAACCTTTTAACACAATCATATCGGTGAATGTAAACATTTCAAGAAAAGCTGGACTTGGAATGATGACAAAGAACTAAAATTAAACAACCATTTAGTCCGTCAGTTAGCTAATGCATATTCGTTTTACATGTTCTTGTTTTCTAGACATCTGTTAAACTTGACGTTTACGAAGATTTTTAGTGTAAAATTTTCTCAAAAGATATTTGAAATCAATGTTATATGGTTACATGGGACTACATGGGACTCATAACACAAATAGGGAAAAGTGGGTGTTACATTGTACAGTGGCATGATGTGCACCTTTGCCTACCGCTTCGGGGATAAAAGGCGTGAAGTTATATTATGTTATGTCCTTACTATTCATTCTTTTTGTACCAAATTGAGAGGGAAATCTTAAGGTAGAACACATATTCTAAAATAGCATGCAGGCAGTCTAGTGAGTGTTTAAAAATATTAAAAAATCGTACGCCTGTCGATTCACAAACGTGCCTTAAAAATGTGCATACTAATTTTGAGAAACATTCCGACACACATGCTAATACTGTTACTAAGTAACAAGTGCTCAATTGAAGTGTATGAAATTAGCATGTGCAACTGAGCCAATTCACCTCACCTACTTCTGTCCCGTCTAGGTAACTTGATTACTGAAGCTAGGTGAATTGTGCAATTGTTTAAATCATATGATTGAATTTTAGCTCTATTTTGCTAGTGTCTGGTTTGGTAGTAGATTAAATTTATGGTTAGGTTTGTTAGTAAGCTGTGTTGCGGTTGTAGGGTAGAATACTTTTGTGACAATCTGAAACCCGCTTTACCACCATGGAGTAAGGGGATTGCAGATTGGACATCACCAAATGATGGTAAATTCTCTTTTTATAGTTTAAGCAGATGACGCCCATAGCCTAGTATATGTAGAACAGTATAGGATCATAATAAGAAACCGAAGTTAAGTAATAATAATATGGGTACATCAACATGACAATCAGTTCAGTTCTTCAATCCCGTTTCACAAAGTCCGACTAACCCCTTGGTGACTATCAAGGAACAAATAATTTCAGTGTAGCTACAAGAATCACATTTTGAACAACAAAACCAAATAATACCAACTTATCAACAAAATATTAAGCTGCTTAACTGACATGCACACCATGAATGTAATTTCACACGAACACAAATAACTACATCAATATACAATGCGTTTAAAAACGAAAACAAGTGCTAAACGGTTGTGTGTGCAACAAATAAGTTAAACGTGTTATTAGAATGCCAGTAACTGTGTTCTGCCAGTAATACAGTCGGTTTGGCACACTCAAAGAGCAGAATGGATGGCACGCGATACCGACGCAATGCCTTTAATGTATAGCAGTAAAATGGCCGAAAAATGCCGTAATTAGGGGATTTAAAAAAGAACTTGTATGATTCACATGATTCTTAATGCTAAATTATTGAAAAATTTTAGTTTACTACTCAATCTTCGTAAAGAATAAGTTAACAATTGAATGTGTCATGTGCTAGGATCGTGTGAGTTTGATCTTCTGATGACAAGTGATGAAAGGATGAATGCTTCACAAATTTAGTAACCATAGATATATTTAATAATTATACCTTTATAGTTTAGTATTATCTATAGTACATTGTCTTTTTCATTTTTGTGCTATGTTCCAATACAATTTGATAATAATTAGGTACTATTCTTTCTGTTTTTTTTTGTTACACAAATTACCTATATTTTATTTCATCAATAGTATCTTCTGAAAAGAGTTTGGTCTCTCTAAAGTTGTTTCTCCTTATAGCCACCGCCATGCCTTTTTTGGTTGGGTAAAATCATAATAATTTCAGTGATTAAGGTAATAAGGTCATGTGGGCCAATCGTGTATAAATATCGTGTGTATATATAATAATGTCGTGGTGGCCCGCAGGTTTAAGACGCCCGCTTCTCATACATGAGGGTGTGGGTTCGAAACCTACCAACGGCAATAACCAATGTGACTTTTTCCGAGTTATATGTACTTTTTAAGACTATCTAGACTCCACTGACAAACGGTGAAGGAAAACATCGTGAGGAAACCTTTATAATTTCAAATTATAAGTTTGCAATCGCCAACCCGCAATGAGCAAGCGTGGTGATTAATGCTCAAACCTTCTTCGTACGAAGAGGCTTTGCTCAGCAGTGGGCACTTATAGGCCATTAGTGATGAGGCCAATCAGCAGAATTAGATAGCATACAGTTAATAAAATGAAGATTGATTCAGTACAGAGACAGCTACTCTTATACATAATTGTATGCTTTTTTGGCTTAATCAATCGATGATTAGTGTGGCTGTCTTCCTTCGTTATTATCTCACCTACATACAAAACCACTTAACCGACAATGATTTTGTTAAACAGCAAAATGACTTCATACCACAGACGTTAACATGAAACAAACTGACTATAACAAGTATAATAAACCACCAAGGTACAATAAATCACAAAAATAAAACTCCACTTGTATACGAAGAGAATTTAAAAGTACAGCCAGATAGATAACGCTTCGCCGTTTTTATTTATAAACGCAAATGTATGCCTTGTTACATCACCATGTATTACCATAGATGCATAAATCTAGCGAGCAGTAGACACTTGGAGTTGGGGCCGACTGTACATGTATATGCCCGCATAATATTCGCGTAAATCACGTGTGGAATTAATTATTGCTAGTGACTGTACTTACTTCTATTTGGGGTGATGAAGATTTGGTTACATTATTATGTTATGCTCATCTTAATGAGTCTAGAAATTTATACTTAACTGCAAATATATCAAAGAAGAATGAGATTAGAAAACTAAAAACTGTTTTAAACATTTTTTCCAGCAGAGTACCTCTATATTGTAACTCTATGGTTATGAAACTAATGTGTCAAAATACATCACTCACACCCTCTTCTGATTGATTAAGGTGGTTCTCCCACAATTCATTAAACGAATCATATTAGAAATATTTCACCCAATGTTACCATTTCATGCCCCTTGATACCGAATTATAGTTTACAGATATCGGCTTTTTATTATACTAAAAGGGGTAGAACTTAAGATCCTTTAGATTTAACGTTCAGAACAGGTATAAAATTTAATTATCATCAATAGCTCATGACAGCTCACTGCTAGACTATGAAACTACTCTAATCCTGTAAGAGGGTTTTGCTATTATTTCCACCACCTGGAATCAAAAACCTCAGGTTTATCATGAAGTGTGGGAGAGCCATGCTTCGGCACGAATGGGCCGGCTCGACCGAAGTGATACCACGGCCTCACAGAAAACCGACGTGAAGCAACGCTTGCGTTGTGTTTCGTCGTGTGAGTGAGGTTACCGGAGGCCCAATTGCAATAAATATGTAAGGATAGACTGTATAGTTCACAAAACACGTCATCGGTGCGTGTACGAGTAGAAACGTCGTCTGAATACGCCCTAAGAAGTCAGCCCTTCCCAAATCAATAGTAACTTGTTTTCTACTACAAACAGATTCATACAGGGTGATCTTGTCTGTAAAAATACATCGATATACAGTATGTGAGTAAGTACAAAATGTTCAGCCGATTTCTCGGTCGATTAGTCGTGTGATAAGTAGCCGTTTGGTCAGCCTTTCTTGCGGAGTATAGGGAAAATCGGTACTTTGTTATTTGTGTAGTGTATGTTAGAATCGGGTGAATAGGTTAGAGTTTACACTGATTGATTTATAAATGAATCAGTGTGGGCTAGGTTTTACTAGCTCTAGTTAGAGTTTAGACTGATTGATTTATAAATTAATCACTGATGGGCTAGGTTTTACTAGCTCTACTACTAGTTTATTTATTTATTAGCTCAGTACTCTTAGCCCTCAATAAGCTATTTTAGTAGACTGATACTTAAATGAGTTCAATAAACAACACAACGTTACAGCGTACGTAGCAGTCTGATGCTGAGGTATAGGCCTTTTTACCTCTATAGAAGCCGCATAACTACATAGGACGATTTTTCTATAATCTCCACATTTGACAAATGGGCTGGTTACTACAGCCCTAAAATAATGCACTGCTGCCTAATCTTTGGCTAATGATGCGTCTTCTTTCACAACACTCGCTATAAGTCCGAGTATATTTTCCTCTGTGGTTACCACACGGCCTGCATCTACACCCACCTATGGGCAAAGTATTACAAACTTTTCTGACCAAATTACGGGTATTCGTAACCTAGACGACTGCACGGTTCACATTAACAGCCTATAAGTGGTCACTTCTAACCACAGGCGTCTTCTCGCACGGTGAAGGTTTGAGTATTAATCACTAATCTTGCTCAATGTGGGTTGGTGATTTCAAACTTATAATTAAAACATAAATTAGAATTGATAAGCTCAGGTTTCCTCACGATGTTTTCTTTAACTGCACAATTCACTCCCTACCTATGAAAAACTATACGTTTAATCCAAAACCATACTTTGCTGAACATGCAGCATATAATATGAATCAATTGTCTCCCGTGAAGGCCATCACCTGTTTGGCCGACAAGCGGATGACACTTTTACGGGATATAATAAGGTAATGTATAGACTTCCTGCGACTAAGTGGCGCGCGCGCCGCTACTCGCGCCCACTTGCGAGCGTCAATTTTATATGTTCATTTGTCAGTTGGTGGGGTTAGCCCAAAAGTGGGGCCTGTTTTTTATTTTTCGTTTGCTCCTTTTTGGTTTATTTGTAATTATGTGAAGAAGATGTTTCTCAAATCATTCTTAAGGCCTAATTTAGTATCTGAAGGAAAATCAAGGAGATTATAATAAATAAGCTAATTATAGTGTGAATATTTTGATAAAAATATAAAATACAGACTGCAAAAATTACAGTACTTAGGTACTGTACACTGAATAAATGACGCGATTTTTTCAGCCATATGACGTATTCGGCGGCGAGATATAACAGACCATAATAAATGCGTAAATAAATACAAAACATTAAATAAATTAGAACAGCTAACTGAAACGCGTTTACACCATAATTTCACGACCGTGGTCAAATCGAGTGGTACATTTAAATTGATTGTAGGACATATTTCCTTGAAGCCGGATGCGTTCAATTGGCATCAGCGGAGTGCGCAGGCGACGAACAGTTCGCGATCGACCGTCCTCTCACTCTCACCGCGATATCGATAAACCGGAATCGAGATATCGATGTGTAGAGGTGACATCGGCGATTAATTGGGGAATCGATCGCAACACTATTATAAAAATACAATCTCGATTATTCATTAGTTTTACTTTTGTGAATAGTGGACTGTGCGAACTATCAAAATGTGTCCTGGAGACAGAATTCGTTTTGTGGGGCAGTGAAATTATCTCATTGTAGTGGTTACAAGTGCCAGTAGGGGACTGGATTCATTTCTCGTGCGTGGTATCACTGACATGTGATACCACAATACAGCTACCACGACGGAAAAAGACGGCAAATACAAAAAGCGAACGAAAAGAAAACGAATTTCCGACATGAGGTGAGAATCATACTAAAATAGTTGTTTCTTTCGCATTTATAATAAAAAATCTTGCTTTGAAAAGAGATAAGATTGACACGTCTTGTTTACAATATCACTACATAGTATAAAACAAAGTCGCTATCCGCCGTCTGTCTGTCCCTATGTATGCTTAGATCTTTAAAACTACGCAACAGATTTTAATACGGTTTATTTTAATAGATAGAGTGATTCTTAAGGAAGGTTTATGTGTATAATACACGTATAATATAGTAGATAAACACTAATAAATTAAGAGGTTTGTAATGTTCGGAGTTTAAAAGAAAACCATTTCGTTCAAGTGTCGTTTATTGAATGCCAAAGTAATACACGTTAAAACTAATTACATATAAAGTGCAGCGTCAACATTGCTTGGAGGTATGTTGCAGTCAATAATTAAAAGTCGAACCGTGTCGCTGTTAAACTATAAAATCATCGCATTTCAACTCCCCCGAAAAAGTACACACTTCATCCCCCTTATAAAAGGAAAAAAAAAATGAAGGCTGCAAACAATGTTGACTACATTTTTTTTTTTAAACCTTATTAGATTGTTGCACATACTTAAACTAAGCTTATAAGTAAATTACAAAATAAAATCAATTATGAAATAACTTTGTATTATTTTTATGCGTTACATATTCCTTATTATTTTTTATAATTTTCACATTTGGTGCAAGATCCTCAATGACTTTATATGGTCCACTATAAATTTTGTCTAATTTGCTACCTACTTGATTTTTTAATAAAATTAAGTCTCCTTCTTTGTAAGTTATAGAATTAAGTTTTTTGTCATAAGATTTTTTCTAATTTGTTTACTTTGAACAAGGTTTGATTTTGCATCAAATTGTGCCTTTTGTAATCGAAATTTTAACTCTATAGGATAATTTTCATCATTATAAACAGGATCTACTGAATTAGTTTGCAAATTTGTTGGCAAGTGACATAGTTTTCCAAAGACGAGCTCATAAGGCGTATACTTTGTCTCAGTGTGTACGGTAGTATTATATGAGAAGCACCAGTATGGCAACCATGTGCTCCAATCTATACTAGTACTTTCGCACTGCATTCTAAGAAATGCTCCTAAATTTTTATGGGTATTTTCTAAAGCACCAAGTGTTTGATGGTGATAAGCCGTGCTATTGTATTTTTTGATTCCTAACAAACTGCAGATTCCTGTCATGATCGACGACATAAATTCTGTCCCCTGATCAGTTATTATTTCTTTAGGTAACCCATAACGCAAGATAAAATTATTCACAAAAGATTTCGCAACTGTCTCCGCATCTTTTGTTTTTAGAGGATACGCTTCCACATACTTTGACAAATTGCATTGTAACGTTAGAATATTTTATAATTAAAACTATCTACTTCTATTGGGCCCATTAAATCTAAACTTAATCTCTCGAAAGTTGAGTTTGGTGTGGTGGTAATAAACATTGGTTCTCGAATTTGTTTATTCGTAAACTTTTGAACCTGACATTGTTTACAGGTTTTCACGAAGTTAGTGACGTCACTGGACATTCCTGTCCAAAAATAATATTTTTTAATATTATTTAACATCCTATTTACCCCCGCATGGCCGCTAGTAGGTAATAGATGAAAATCATTTAAAATAATACGTTTTTCATCTTTATCAATTATACGTTTCACATCTCTAGTAACAAGAAAACGTGGTACCTTCGATGCTTTCATTTCCTTTAATAAATATTGAAGTAATATTTTATTACTTTCATTCTTTACAACTACGAGCTCACAAATGTTTAATTTAGAGCATAAATATTCTAGTTCTCTCGCTAACACTTTAATAGTTGATAACGATCGAGAAAATAGAATAATACAGCATTGCGAAGGTACGTATAGACAATTACCAGACTCTTCAGATACCGTTTCTAATTTTAATAATTGTCTTTTAAAATTGTCATTAGAACTTATTATCAGTTCAATTACGTCATTGGGTTTTTTGAGAATTTCCACCACCTTTGGTTGATCAGGCCGCGTAGTAGTGGAGTCTCCTAGCGTCAAGTCCGTGTGTCTGTTATCTACTTCGGGTTCTAACAACTTTCTATATTGCGCGTGCGTCATAACCGATATCACTTGCTGTCGCATTTCTTTTAAATCTTTACAGCTTAATGGGATTCGACTTAATGCATCTGCGGCTGCATTAAGGCGACCTGGTACATGCTCTATATCAAATTCGTATTTTTCAAAGACAGTGTGCAGTTATCAAAATTTATAACTGCTTTATATTTTTCTAAAAAGTTTCTCCCTAATATCGCATCTGCTGCGCAAGATAAGCTTCTAAAAACATAAAATCTATCCGAGAAAAAAGTTCCTTGACATTCTAAGTTTAAATCAATATATCCTTGAGAAACTAAATTACCGGTTACCCCTTTTATTACTATTTGCTCCTTAATTATAAATTTTAATATTTCAGGTAATTTGTTTTCTAACCATTCAAACTTAATTACACAAAGACTTGCCCCGCTATCTGCAAGTAAATTAATAAGTCTATTAAATAATCTACATGTTATAATGCTATTACTATTATAGTTATAAACAAAATGTTCAATTTGTTTCGCCACGAAAAAACTCATTCTCGGTTTCGAAATTATTTGAAGTTGCCTCACTTTGGATTTGTGCATTATCTTCCATGTGAGTCATTGATGATTGATTATAAGAAATATTCCGCGGATTGTATCTTGCGAAACGTCTTCGCGGATTCCAATTGTTGTTCCTCCACACTTGTGTATTATTGCGCAAATAATTATCCGTATTGTTATTGTTGTCATTGTTGGTGTCTGAGTTTTTGCAACTGTTGTTATTTGAATTATTATTGGGTAATCGTTTATTAATGAAATTGGGACCGCGATTAAAGTTCTGCGAATTCCGCCTATAGTTTGAGTCGTTGGGACGAGACCGAGAGTTTTGGCTATTTCTTACCTGCATGACTTCACTTTCAGGAGCCATAGAACTCTCATCAATAGCGGCACGAATAGCATCTGGAAGTGACTGAAATTGTCTTGACGCTATTATTGTACTTAATCGAGTATCCGCAAGGCCATCGGCGAAACGCTTAATAGCTAATTTTTCATTAATGGGGCGAAGAATATTATATTTCTCACTGTCATCGTCGGCTTGAGAAACTGTCAAATTAACAAAAAGTTCTTCTAATTCGGAGCCGAAAGACTCTATAGAACGATGCCCTTGGTTTGCTCTATGTAACTGTGCCTGAAGGGCGACGGATGATTTTTTTTTTTTTGTAATAAATGTTTTTTCATGTCTGTGAGCAAATCTTGTACACAGGAGTATGACGTATTCATTCTTAACTTTGCACTAGCTGATAATCTAGTTTTCAAAACAAATTTAATTAATTGATTGTTCGCGTCAGTTGTAATCATAGAGCTATAGAGATCTATGCCATCTATTAGTTGTTTGGTAATTTTTTCTGCTCCTGTCATAACAGGTAACAGGGAGATGGCTGTTTTCATATCGAAATTATCTAATGTCATGGTAGTGGATTGTGAAATTACAGTTGGCGTTGGAACTAAAGAAATTATTTTACTATAGATCTTAGTAATTTCGTCTACAGTTTTATTTATTATGTCTATGTCTGTAGTTTTTATTTCTGATTTATTTAACTGTTCGTACACTCGAGACAAAGTATTATTTAATTTTTCATAGGCACACTTAGCTTCATTTATTTTCTTGTATCCTATCTCTTTTTGTCTGCGCTCTCGACCTATCTTAATTAAATGGTCATAAATGGCTTTCAACGTTGTTTGAATTGCTATTAACTCATTTATCATATTACTTAATAAAAGGATACCGAACAAAGTTGCATCTTCTCAAATTGATGGAGGCTGGCGTCGCAAAATTTTCTTTCCCTTGGCGTTACTCGGCAGGACCTCGACTCGACGCTACTTGGCTGGAACTGGGTCGGTCTTGCTGCTTGGGCCGGGATAACCCTGGACTCCGCTGGATGGCCGGGATTTCCCTGGCCTGGCTTCTTTTTTCTTAGGCTGGTGAAGACGACGGTAATGACGAGGACGGCGTCAATTGTAGGGTAGAGGTGGTTGTTTGCAATAGGTGCCGATTCAACTCACGACGCAGTGTTTTAACTATTTGATGGTGGCACTTCTTGCTTAAGTAGTAAATGAGCGAAGAGGCGACGAGGACAAGGACCACAATCATCAAAATTTCGCCGGTGTTCAGCAGTGAGGAATGCTTCTGCGTGGCTTGGGCATCACCACTCGCAGTTTGCGCTATCACGACTTCGTCTTTGCTGTATGACTTCCCCATTAGATAACCTTTGTTTCACTTCTTTATTGAATTTCTTCTTAATTGCTCGTCGTGTTAGTTTATCTTCCTACGGGTTGTAAGGTTCGATGGCAGGGTCGCCATGTAATGTTCGGAGTTTAAAAGAAAACCATTTCGTTCAAGTGTCGTTTATTGAATGCCAAAGTAATACACGTTAAAACTAATTACATATAAAGTGCAGCGTCAACATTGCTTGGAGGTATGTTGCAGTCAATAATTAAAAGTCGAACCGTGTCGCTGTTAAACTATAAAATCATCGCATTTCAGGTTTCTAATTCCACCCGTATGATGCCGAGGCGGGTCACTAGTAAAGAACTAAATAGCTTCGGCCACTGACTTTACCCGCGTCTCTGTGGGATACCAAGTAGCCTATGTGTTCTTCCAGACCATGACCTACCCTTATTCCAAATTTCCACCCGATCCCTTCAGTCGTTTTGACGTGAAAAAGTAACAAACACACACACACACATACATTCTCACAAACTTTCGCATTTAAATACTTAGTAGGAATTATTATGAAATAATGTTTAGAATTAAGAATAATTACGTCGTGAAGCCTACATTAGTAAGAATTATTGTTTCTCATTCACGCAACACTAGTGAACAGTGCCTTTAGCCAAACGCAACTTCAGCGCTTGTCTATAGAGAGAGTAGAAAACTAAATGTATGGGGATAACACTGATAAGTGTCAAAATTTTAGTCAATTCCATATAATTTGGTTTTCTATTCTACAAGTAGACAAGCGCTAAATGACATTTGGCTACAGCTGCAGTTTTGATATGAATTAAAGGCATAGTGATGGATGATATTCTACCGGAACACATCCATGAAACCACTGGCTTGAGACTTGGAGTTATGTCCATTTAGGCAGTCTTGAGGAGTTTGAATGATATGAAAATTAACTAATTTTTATAATAACTTTCGTGAGACATACTGAATTAATCAAAAATAATGGTTTAGGAAACAAAAGTTGCACTTAAATATCGTGTCAACTCTGTCATTTTATAAAGAACTAGCTTCTGCCCGCGACTTCGTACGCGCAATCCCATTTTCCCCCGTTCCCGTTCGGGAACGATTTTTTTCGGTAAAAAGTAAAAAAAAGTATTGTTTAAAAAGTATCCTATGTCCGTCTCCTTGTTCTAAGGTACCTCCCTGCCAATTTTCATCTAAATTGATTGAGGCGTTCTAGAGTTATAAATAGTGTAAGTAACACGACTTTATTTATATGCATATATAGTTTTGTAGTTACAACAATTGTATATTCAACCACGACTTAAAATTGAATAGCATTTCAGTATTCGAACATTACTTACGTAAATATTATATACTGAGAGTACTCGATACTATGATTTGAAGCCAGTAGAACATTTATTAGAAAATTATCGTCAGTAAACAGATATTTTTAGTTAATGAAACCAATTTTTCTAGACTGAATCCCCAACGATCCTCAAACTACTAATCCCCAAAAAGCCGGTAACGCAGTTGTAACGCCTCTGGTGTTCCAGATGTCCATGGGCGACGCCGATTGCTTACCATCAGGTGATCCGTCTGCACGTTTACCGGCTTATGCCGTAAAAAAATAACTGGAGACAGACACGTACATTATTATGTTATACTCAGGACTTCTTTGTATTGTTGACTTTCAAAAGGTTTCTTTTGTAATATAAATTGGTAGAATTATTTTGACTTTGGTATCTCAATGTTAAATCTCTAACATTAGTTTGTCATTGTATAACTCATCCGTTACTTATGATTGAGTGATTGAGGGATTGATGGGTCGACGTTTATGCAAGATATTTCATTCATTCATTTTAAAAAAAAACGTTGCCCCATACTAGGATTATCTCCTGTGTCGTGGGTTCGTTTACAAACATACAATTTCACATACAAATGACACCCAGACCCGAAACAACAATTTGTGGATCACACAAAGTGTTGTTCCGTGCGGGAATCGAACCCGCGACACGTTGCCCGGCAGCCGGTTGCCCAGCCACCGCACCAACCGTGCAGTCTGTTGTGCTTGTGCATTTGCATGTAAACAGCTAAAGACCAAGCTCAAGTTGCATTTTTTCATCGATGGAGTGGCTAACGTTCTGCAGTGAATAAAAGTCTACTCATGGCACGAACATAGCTAGAACAACTGGTCATAGACAAGTAAAGTTTGGTTATGTTTGTTCGTTGTGGTGTACAGTACAATTTAGATGAGCTCTTCAGAGTGTATTTATCATAGTTTGGAAACGAATTATATATATGAGCCAGATTTTCACTACACGTTGCCTGCCTCGTTAGCCAAGTGGTCACTGTGACTGCCGGGCAAGGGGTCTCGGGTTCGATTCCCGGGTCAGGCAAAGTATTACTGGGTTTTAAAAAAATCTCAGTAGTAGCACGGAGCTGTGCCCGATATATGGCAATAGGCTCAACCCCTCGGCGGCAAGGTGTTTTTGTTTCGGAAACAATACATAAAGGTTGTTAGCGCGCCGTCGGCACGTGGATGACAAGCTCACAGTTTTTTTTTATATTGATGTTATGAAAAATGTCATGCGACATACGATTTGAAGTTCAGATTTAGCGTGCGAGCATGCCGGAGCCGGTTAAGTGTGCTATGATCTTAAGGTACGGACCTTGTCGCGGAGAACCTAACGGGTAACCGGGGCTCCGGCTCGACGTGCAGGAGAAGGAACGGGGTGGTTTTTAGTCAGTAAGAGGCTGACACTCACCCAGGCGGGAGCAGTCAATCGATGATTATCCCCCCTTAAAAAGGTACGGCCCTTAAGTACTGTGATTTCCAAACCTATCAGTTGTAAATATTATAGCAAACACTTTTATGTGGAAGACGTTAATTAGCAGTAATACAGCAGTTGTTAAAGTTAAAAGAAAACGATTTAGTTAAAATTTTTAATGTACTGTGATTTCCTATCAGTTGTAAATATTAAGTATAGCTTACCCTTTTATTTAAATTTAAATATTGCTTTCCGACACGTCTACTGCTTACGCCATGCGAATACCTTATATGCGAATATTTTTACGATAGCACCTAGCATAGACTCCAGCTCCTCGCATTGCGATAAAAATGAGATTATAAATAAATTGTGAAACCTAGAACAAATGTCATTGTGAAGAGAAATAAAGAAATTTATTAATTTCCTTAATGCGGGTTGACTATTTCAAACTTATAATTAGACGTTAACAGCCCAGGTTTCCTCACGATGTTTTCCTATATCGTTTGTCAGTGGTGTCTAAATAATCTTAGGAAGTACATATAAATAGGAGAAGTCACATTATTTAATCCTCCGAGCCACCACGACATTTATTTAATCACATGCACTTGTTTACCCATAATAGGCATGGTGTCCATACGTCCCCAACTGCAGGTTCAGTCGTCAATTATAGAGTAATTATTTAATTTTGTGTAAATAGATGCACAGATTAAATAATCACTGCATCTCCTTCCTTGATGACGATAACAAGTGACTTCTGGTTGTTCATTGCTCTTAACCATTGCATGTACTACTGCACGTTGGCAATCTCGTTGCTCTGATTAAACTTCAAGGTAGGTTTTCCTGAGTGATGATTGAAAACGATATGATTTTAACCGACCAGTAAATAAATAAATAAATAAATAAAACTTTATTTATAATAACAAAAACGCAAAATTCAAAAATATATCTAAATTACGTACAATTGACCTCAAATAGTTAGATGCCTGCACTAGGACAATCCTGTATCGCAGGCGAGAGGAGCTCTAAATATAATTTTACAATAGCACATCTTATTTCTATAAACACAAATATTTATCAGAATGCAATAGAAAACAATATATATTGACTATTTTAATATACATACATTCAAACATGCTTACATACAAAACATAACCTCATACCCTACATTCTCTGAAAAGACAGGCAGAGGTGCATAACTAATCGTAATATAATATTATAATATATCTAATAAATATACATACGTAAACAATATAATTATAAATCAGTTCGAAAATAAAACTATCACTATTGCCGACTAATTAGCATGCAATTAGCATCAGTATCAGTAACTTAGGTTTTCATAAAAATTACGTATTATGAAAAGGCGGAGATCAGTAACAATAGGAAAAAAGACAATTTCTTAGCTTCTTATGTACAGAGTGGTTCTTTCGTAATATATTTTAATCTTCAGATTAATCCGATTTGAGTATCTTATACTGATTTGTCTGTTGTCATAAGTGTTCTCTAAATCACTATATATTTGTCCTCAGGGTTGATCTACGTAGCTTTAAGTGTGCAACTGCACTTCGTGCTGGCCTCAAAGCGGCAATGTACGAGAGTAGCTGCTCCTACGCAGGAGCATTGGAATTGAAAAGAAGCGCTCTGAAAGAAGAACCATGGCCAGCAACAGAATGGCCTCCTTACCGGTTACATCAGTCCACTTTCGAGCAACTGAAACAAAGTGTGGAAAAGGCCAAAGCGGCCTTGCAAGACAGATCAGGTCTATTAGGGACTGCAACTGCCTTCGGTGACTTCTATGGAGGACAGCTGGGGCAGGATGCCACCAGCTCCACGCTGGGCTTCGGCCGAACGGCGCGGACTGAAGACTCGATGCTTGGCACTATGGAGAAGAGTAAAACTATCGGTAAGTCGATTTTGTTTGCTATATTTTTAAATAAAACAAGGGTGATGGAAATGGTGGTTGCTTTTGTGTTATGAAGACTATTATTGCACTAACTACTTTACTCTCCATACTAACTATGCAGATCTGCAATAACTTAACTAAATCTTTGTACATGTTTACTACATGGCAGCAACGAGTCAATGTCACCCTCCATACCTCCGCACCCGGCTGCGTCACCATTATGTCTCGTGATAAACTGCACTACGCCAGGGTGATAAAATTCACTAGCAAAACGAACACTTTTACACCAGCCATTTTACATTCGTATCAGAATTTAAGGTCTATTGTCATATGCCTTAACCTCACGACGATAACGCGAACGGGAGACACGGCTGAATATCGATTGCTCTCTGTGTCAGCGTAAACTCGCCCTTAAGATAACAAAGCAGGATCACATTTCGCGTGTAAACTAAACCCTTTTAGATTATTTTGATGTAGGTAGAAGAGGCTTGGTGGGGGGCATCTTCAGATAACAATCAAGGGAGTGGGGCGTACGGGATTTCATCCCCATGGTTGCTATAGAGACGCCCCCGCCCCTTAACGCCCTGCGATGATCGCGCTCGGGTAAATAGTAGCGAAAATAAATTTTTATTATCCCACCGTTCATTATTGTTGAAGTTAGCCAACGCTTTTTTTCCCTTAACGAGGGTACTATGATAATTCTGTTGCAGTTTTCGTGCATTCAACGTTTTTTAAAAGAATTTCTCTTATCTTATAAAATACGTTTGGTCTAAAACGTTGTTAGCTGGTTTAGGTCATGTGTAGTCTACTATTTAAATCATTTATTTATTTGGCTCTAATATTTATGAACTTGAGTTCATCTTCATTTCCAATTTTATAATAGTTCCTATTTTTCATTGATAGATACTATCAATATTTTAATCTAATGACAATCAGACCGTGAGTTCTGCATTAGTTTACTTATGAGATTAAAGGAATTATCTGAAAACCATCTCAATATACAGCTTAAGTACTAGATCTATACACCCAACATATTTCAATTGTTATAAAAATCCTTTGTCTCCGCCAGAGGTCGCCACAAAAGCGGCTCACAAAGACCTCCTCTCAAAAAGACAAAAAACGTTCTTGCCATTAAAAAAAAGTACCGCAATTCATAAAAAATGTAAATTCGAAGCGAGGCAGCCATTGTCTTGGCAGTGCCGCACAGACGAGATCGAGCTTTTCCGTTTTCGTTAACTAGATGGAAAGTCTTGCAATTTCGGCCCGTTGAAAGACTTTTTAATTTTAATATCGTTGAAATTGTTTGAAATTGAACTGTATTGAGTTACACTCTTGGGTTAGATGGGTTGAACATGAATACACAGCACATGATTTGCGTATTCATGTACAAACTCTATACACTAAGTAATCTTTGACATGAAGATTTACTTAGCTACATTGTTCTAACGCTTATTCTATTAACATGTAGCCAATACTGCCTCGTTGGCCGAGTGGTCGTAAGTGCGACTGCCGGGCAAGGGGTCGTGAGTTCTATTCCCAGGTCGGGCAAAGTATTATTGGGTTTTTAAATATTCTCAGTAGTAGCACGGAGTCTAGAATTGTGCCCGGTATATGGCAATAGGCTCACCCCCTATTACATGGGACTCATGACATAAATAGCGAAAAGTGGATGTTAGGTACATTGTACACTGGTATAATGTGCACCTCTGCCTACCCCTTCGGGGATAAAAGGTGTGATGTTATGTTATGTAGTCAATAACACACTGGTCAAGTTTCTAACAAAAATCATTGCGTACTAGGAATTGATTATATATAGCAACGCCAATGGTACAAATAAGTACAGCACAGGTCAAACAGAACCGTACGTATTACATGGCCAACTGCCAGAAACGATAACAAAAAACTAATTCACAAACAACAAATTAATATTTACACAACAAATTACTTTTTGATGAAATTTCACATTCAAGTCAAAGTTGTCGTGTTAAACGGCTTGCAACAACATCCATTACGAGCCGGCTTTGATAAACACACGACGCGAGCCAAAAATACTAAGCAATGGGCGGGTTATTTACATAATATTCAAATAAGTGCAAAAATCCACGTGCCACTGCCGCTTAATCTTAGTCATTAAGAGAAATGTATTAAACGTAACCCCTCGGCGATCGCGTAAAGAGTTGTTAACATGAAAATGATTGCAGACCGCCCCGAATTCCAGTTGTAGTATTTTACATGGCTATCAGACCCCGGGATCAGTTTGGTACAAATGTCATCAATTATGAGGCCACACTTTAGATGGTATCGCGATAAAATATATATCAATAAATCATGCGCCAACTGCTCTGATACGAGTTTATTGATTTTTTTAATGTATATTGCCAAAGGGCTAGGGTGGTTGTTTCCCGATTTATATTCATTACGGACGAGGGTCGGTGTTAGAGTACAATGTGAAATGTAGATTATGAGCTGTTTGCATAGATTTTGAGTTTAAAACTCTTTGTCTTGCACCTCTGTTGTTTGGGTACCGGTTAATTGTGTTCATCTGTTGTGGAATTATTGTTTAAAACATGTACAAAGTCAATTAAAATCTCAGTATTCTATCTGCTATCGTCATAGAATCGTCTCGTTTTCCAACTGCAATTTCTCCATCAGAGTTTAAAGCAAATATTTTTGCCTAACAGCTATTTGGACATCATAAACCTCGTTCTGAGTCTTAAAAAGCCTGCATACTAAGCCCCTTTTAACCCGAAACAGATAATCTACAAAGTAAGTATCGTAAAACGGTGTAACGAGTGTGAAAAGTGACTCATCATGGGGCTCCCTGCTGTCTGCACCGACATTATTATGTTTAATAGTCCCTTGCCCCAAACAGTTTGCTTTTTAATTAGTATACGTTATTGTGTTATTATAATCTGACGTGTTAACGTTTGTTCAAACTATGTTTTGTAGTTTGAATTTTATATTCAATCTTTCCACCTTTCGGTTCGATCGTTTTGTTTTGGGAATGGACTTTGTTTTGGTTTTGTTTGTGCCTTGATTTTGTAAAAAGAATCGCAATTTTTAGTTAAAGAATGAGTACATTTTCTCTTCTAATTAAATTTTTATAGCATACATAATTCTACTTCTAGATCAACACATTCTCCGTTGACTTATGCCGTACCAATTATACTATTTAAAAAAATAAACAAAGCATAATAGCGACCAGCAAATTGATTCTCTTGAAGTTAAATGACACCTAATAAACACTTCAACATATTGTAATCCGTAATATCAAATTGTTTAATCCACTAACCCTCTCGAGGGTCCCAAACACTTCACATAAGCCAATAAACCAGGTCCTCGGTCCCATGGGGTGGTCTATAGGAGCAAACAAACAATTATTGCACAATCAATGCCCATTCTAGCGCAAATATTATAAATCAGCGATAATGGCGCGCGTTACGTAGAGTGACATCGCTTTTAGTTCGCCGCTCCTGACAATAGGTGGCGTGCGGCCGACGCGCGCCCGCGCATCTCGTAAACACGTCGCAGGCTTGAAACCAGCGGGCGATATAATCCCTCGTACTGTTGATTGTCATTTTAGCGGATACCAAAGCAATTGCATATTTCTTTAAGATTTATTTGATCTTGTAGTTAAAATCTTCGAATCTTCAAAGTTAATTATTATTTACATCTCTTAATAAAAAAAAATATGAGATAATATTAATAAAAAGTATTCTTCCACGTGAGATAGAAAGACATAATTTGAAAGTATTTTCATTTTAAATGTTTAAGCCTATTTTAATAGGGTCATTTTTTCAAGTTTCACAAGGTGTGTAACTACTACAAGAAACTACACTACATTTTCAACATCTTTTAATTTAGCATACATATTTATATACTCATACTTTGCGTAGCCAAAGTGTAATCCGCTGTTTTCGGAGCCCCGTCAATGTTGCTTACCATTTCATGGGAACCGAAGCCGAGACAATGCGAACTTAATTGTGCGATAGATACCAGTAATGATGATGCCACCCCAATTTTTTTTTGGATTTATGGATATGCCGTGACCACGCGACCTCACCCCATCGTTATTTTCAACAAATAAATTGTTCAAAACATATTGTGTGAGGCAATTTGATACGTTTGACTTTTAGCGTGGGATAGAAGAGATTTTTATTTGTTATCTTTATTATTCGGGTGGTACTTGAGTTGTGTTTGTTTGTCATAGTTTTTGCAAAGTCATAGTGGAAGATTTCAATGTTGTATTTACGATTTATCTAAAGTTTTTCAGTAACATAACTTAGTGTGAAATTGTGTTCAATTACTGGCAGTAGGCTCATCATATTTATCATCATTCATATTATCATATTCATCATTCATATTATCATCGTAGGCTCATCAGCACACTTAAAGTGCACATAATGTAACAATGTAACACTCACATTGTTACATTATGTGCACTTTAAGTGTGGGAGAGACATATTTCGGCACGAATGAGTTGCCTTGCAGAAAACCGACGTGAAACAACGCTTGCGTTGTTTCATCGTGTGAGTGAGGTTACCGGAGGCCCTATTACTACCCCCTCCCCTTCACCAATCTCCCCAATCCCTGAATTCCCAATAACCATCGAATTCCTAATCTTCAAAATGCCCAGTACCGCACTTATAACGTCTTTGGTTTTCCGGGTATCCTTTGGCGACGCCGATTGTTTGCCATCAGGTGATCCGTCTACTCGTATACTGGCTTATTCCATAAAAAACGATTGTAAATCACTTGGGGTGGCATCCTTATATTTACCATTGAAAACAATATTGCATGTTTTGGTTAACATAAACAGAGTTGCATGGGACTACGGCGCTCACCTTTACAATTTACATCAATTATTTTATTAGTCAAGTTGAAATATGGGGTGTACTTATTACTCAAAATTATATTCAAAAGCCATGTTTAACAACCGCATTAACGTATACTCGATCAACAAGCACTGATAACTAAACTTATCAATTTAAAATCATTGCAATTGATAACAATTAAACTATTTATTTTTGACTAAAAGAATTATTAGGATTACTCTTGACTAATACTTATTAAAAGTAAGCACTACTCTTTCTGTGGATGTCGTATGAGCTTAATAAGAGCCACACAGGGTTATTCCCCTGCTTAGCCGAATCTTTTTTGACAGAGTGGTAGTGATAAACATCGGGTCAGGGTAGCTAACCATAGATTAATAAGCAGTGCCTTTAGCCAAACGCCACTTTAGCGCTTGTCTACAGAGAGAGAGTAGAAATCAAAATGTATGAGGATGACACTGACAAGTATCAAAATTTACGTTAATTCCATAATAATTTAGTTTTCTACTCTACAAGTAGACAAGCGCTAAATGGCATTGGGCTACAGCTAGCTAGTTTACACATATGTAGTGTTTCTCTAACCAATGATAGTTAAACGACAAGGAATTCAATGTCTTTGTTATTTGATTGACATCATGGCATTCGTTAAAATGGACAAATTCCAAGTTTTTAGATTAACGTTGCTTAGTATAGCACTTAAAGTGGATTAGTAAACATGCTACCAGATGTTATGAGGACATATTATTAAATCAAAGCATTTTTTTTCATTCTTCATTGCAGTGCTTCCATTTTCTTTACAAAGTATGCTATTTTATTTTATTATTTGATAATAGTTATATCATTTTGGACGCGACAGGTCCAGACAAGCTATCTGGAGGCATCGGTAAAGCCTACTCGACACCTACCCTGTCCGACACGCTACGGGCAACGAAATGTTCAGGTATGTCCTTTTTAATACAAGAACCTGTCTTAAGAGGTCATAAAGAATAAGAATTGAATTATATAGATACCATAGTAAATAAAACTTGGTTTAGGAAAGCTAAAATCTCGTTTTTAGCGATATCAACAAGCTAAGATAAAAAAACCGGAGATCACGGGAAGAGTTCGGTAATCCGTTAATTGAGAAACTAAAGCTAAAATCAAGTTATTACTTTCACGAAAATCGAAACACCGAAACTTCAAACAATCCACATTCAAGATTCAAAATATAAAGCCATGCACTTTAAACGAAAGTATTCTTCAAAATCTTCAATCCTTATTATCTCACATCGCCTTCTTGGATCCTTGAAATATTCTGTACAATTTAACTCATGATGACAGTAGTGACAGCTGAGGCATAACTTCAAAGGATGCATAGAGGGCGCTGAAGTACTGCAATTAAAAGTTACCGTCAAAGAGACACTCATTACGCTTGGCAAAACGTTAAAATGATTGTGGCGGATTGTGGAGGGTGATATCTTTATCCATCGGTAATGAGCGGTGAATACTGTTGTATGACTGGGGATTTCGTTGATAGAATAGGGAAGCCGGATAATGAAGACCTTTTGTTTTCTTCTAGAAGTCGTTTTGTTTGCCTATCTTTTTAATTTTTTTTTTCTAAATTAACTTTAAGCGATAGATTAGCGATAGATTTAAGAGCCATGCTTCGGCATGAATCGGCTGGCTCAACCGGTGTGATATCACAGCCTTACGGAAAAATTACTTGCGTTGTGTTTTGTCGTGTGAGTGAGGGTTACTGGAGTCTCAACTATTACTCTTCTTCCCAATCTCCTCAATCCGTAAATCCCTAACTATCATCAAATTCCTAATCCCACAAAATTCCGGCAATGCATTTGCAACATCTATGGTGTTTTCTTGTCCATGGCGGCGCCAATTGCTTACCATAAGGTGATTCGTCTGCTCGTTTACCGGCTTGTTCGATAAACAATTAGTTTAGGTTGGCAAACATTTTATGCTTTGTCATGAATCCATGGAGAAATATTAATATTTAACTATGAGAAATGAAATTAAGTTAACTTATATTACTGTTAAATGGCAAAGTGGAGTGGAGAAAAAGTACCGGTACTATAATAAAAAGAAACCTAACTCATATTGAACTATTTTTACTCATTTACAGTTACAAAAGTAGTAGTTCTTTAGGCTTCAGGTATGGAACAGTTGCATAAAGAGAAAAATAACAAATATGGCCTTTGTCGTGCAGTATACATCAAATGTATATAAAGAAAGATAAACTACTAAGAATAGTATGACGACCACGATTTCCTTGTAGTCTTGTAGTTCTTGTATTATCTTATTGTATGATTGTATCCTCAGCTGCTGTGGCACAGCACAGCTGCAATTTTCCAATTTAAAATCTAGATGCTCGTAGGATCTCTTATATATTACAACAATTGCAACTACAGAGACAGATATCCTTTTACGGCAACGTTTCTCTATGTCTATTTATTGGTGTTTTGTGCCTCAAACCCTCCAAAACCATTAGATTTCTGTTATTTCGATATTCCCATTTTCCTTTGCTTTTTGATCTAAAATCTCTTTTACAAAAAAACATTATCGTACTTCACACGTAAAGAAATAAAATAAATTTTGGAAATAAAACTCTTGTGAAAGCGCAAGTACTTACCACCCGTGCGCCGTGGACGGGTGGCTCATTTTTACAACAATGCATAAAGACGACTCATGTACATAGTTTCCAGTCTCAGTAAACGGCATTAATGGTGTATTATAAGTAAGAGTACTCTGAACACAATGTGTACTAGTACCGTAGCTAAACCCGCCACGCGCCGCTGCGTGTCCCACTGTTAATTAAGAGCTCTCCGGGTCTATATCAACCACTCTACACGACTCGATTCGATACCGTTTCGGATAGGATCCCTGCATTTCCATTCATCGATACTCGGTTGTCGATTAAAATCGATAAAGCTTGTGTTCATTTTGCCGGTATTGTTTAAACAATGCGCTGCGGAGGTGTCGGGACGTCCGATCAGAAGTGTCGATAGCATCGATAGGTATTATGTATCGACTGTTTCTATTTAAAAGATAAACCGTCACACATTGTATGGCGTATATTTCTTGAATTTGAATAGGTTAAATAGCCGTATTGTTTTAGCATTTTTACTTATAGACTAAGATTAGGTTTATTTGTTTAATTAAACACATCCCAAATAATCACGTTATACATATAAAAGTGAAGTTTCTGAGCTAGTATCTATACTGTCTATAGTGAAGGGTCTGATGGACCCCACAACGCGTATCGAATATATACGCGTGCCATCCCTACGAACGTAGAACGATTAGAAATCTGCGGTGACAACCATGAATTACACTGATTTTTTCTCATAGACTACAAAAGATAACGTACGGCATACTAGGGTTGAATAAACACAGTAATTGTTAGACACATTATTGAGTGAATCATCCATTATAATTGTTGTAACTTATTATTTTGATACTGTTGTTGTTTGCTACCTTTTTGTGATATAGCATAATTAACGATTATGCATACATGTAAATAATTGAATCGTAACTTAAGGTAAACTAAAATGTTTGAGGTATGAACTAAGCAGTTATAAATACTGATCAAGATTAAAGTTTCTCCTTGTTATGAGATTTAGTAATTACAACTGTTTATCTCACACTATCTATAGTTTAACCTTTTTTATTACATCACCCATTCTACAAATTAATACGAACACTATCCAACTATAAACAGTCCCCACAAAATAAACAAACACTCAACGATTCACCATTACGGGTTTACATCGTAAAGACAAATAAAGGATCGCCCCTTACCAGTTCATATCCCAGTCAATCATTGTGCCTTCCAGTTCCGGTGGCGCATGTTAAATGTATGGGAGGAGCGACTATAAGCCGAGACTAATTTTTGGATTATCGTTACTTTTGTAATAAAGATGGTAACCCGTGAGAATCGGGATGGGGATAACGAATCGCGATGGGGAATTAATGGTCTCAGTATTCGGAACCCAGTGCGGCGTTTACATGTTAATACTATACGTAGGTAGTATTGTCTGCATTTTATAAGTTTCACTAAAGATTATTTTGTTTTAACAACGTTGGAGATATTGATGACGTTCCATAATAAGAAAAAGCCAACATTTTTACTTTTACATATGTATAAGTACGCTTAATAGACTATGATTTTTGTAGAAATCCTCGATTATTTTACAACAATCTTTAGTTCCACGTAATGATTACTACCTAATAATATAAATGATCTAAAAGATATAAACAATGAATACCTATTAAGATTACAAACTACGGTTTCACAGATCCCTATAATCGCACCCTCTAGCTACTTTATTGCCCGGGACAGAGTTAACAAAATAAATGGCTTAAATTTCTACACCAGTAATGAATACAAGCGAGGGTTGTAGCATAAATCATTGTTACGTTGCATTTCGGGGATGTTTAGGGGCCCAAGATAAGGGAAGTCGCGAGCCCTATCCTGAAGCATGGTCTAAAGTATACGAAGCTAGATAACAAATAATCAAAGTTTTATAATGTTTCAAATTGTTTCATATCTATAACTTGGGAATTAAGTGCTTTTTACATGATTACAGTATGTTTAATTTTCACTCACTTGCCTTGGCCGAAACCCTTTCAAAATATTATATTGAAAATAACATGAGGTTTTTTATTAATAAAGATTTAACGGGGATGCATCAAAATGCTGAGTCGACCTCGTGAGTCACACCCATTAAATATAGTCAGATACTATAAATATTAAGATAAAAACACTATTATTTTAACTAAAATAGAAGAATCTATACCTGTAAATATAAATACAAATGCACCAATTTCTTTAAACTTTGGCAGCTTTAATCGCTCCCACTTATGCGTTACGCCACGCTCCAGGCACGCGTCACGCACCGGACGTAGATGACGAGCGGGAGCGCGTGCGCATACGATTCAAATGTTCAATGGAACGTACGGAGGCACACTTAAAACATTTTTATTGTTGCCCTCCATTATTAAGGATCCCTTGAAACTTGGGAGACGTAGGGTTTTTCCGAAACGAACGATACATTGACACTATATTTATGTATTTTTGTAATTACATACTAGCGAACTGTTTTACACTAGTTAGTTATTATTATGTAAAGTGACGAACTGCCTGTTAGTCCCTTGATGAGTGATAGATTTGCGGTCGATTTCTAGTTCACGTTCAGCATTTAGTCGGTATGCATGGAAGTACATCATGATTGTGATACGCAATTCATTTCATTAAAATTAATTGTATTCTAAAATCGTTAGTTTTCACTGTTGATTCAGATTTCAACGATTAAATGAAATTAAAACCTTTTTTAACCTGTCAGCTTTCTATCTTATCCATTTCATGATTCATGGAGTATAAAAACTATAAAAGTCTTATCTATTAACAAAGTCTGTCAATTTGATAATGTCAATGTACGTGAAATGATGTAGTAATGGTAATTGGTATGATATATCGAGCGATGTGAAATATACTTTTTTAATATTTTTATTTTTTTATAATCACGATATATATGCACATAAAATTACAAAGTATTGAAAATGTCAAACAAAGACTATTATGCACGTTGGCTACAATTCAAGGAACAGTTTAAACTTGCATTACTGGAAGATGACCGCATCCAGGAGTTGGCGGTAAACTATATCGGAGTTAAACCACAGGGTACAGCAGTTGAAATAGTTGGCCGAGTATACAGCAAGTACTGTGAGCTATACAACCAACTGTGTGACTGTTACGATCAGATGGAGCAGGTGCAGCGGAGACCATACATAAAGAAAATTATAGACGGCTTAACATGTCGTATTATCGAGTTAAAAAAAACATTAGAGGAAGTTGAAGTTTTCGAATTTACTTATCCTGACAACGCCTTGCAACAATTGTTAATACAACCTTATGACATTGAGATACTTTGTCCCTTTTTCTACCCATTCGAAATACGACAAGCAGAGATGCAATACATTATGGATGAAATATTTGCGGGTAATCGGTTAGGAGATCCACCTAAAACACAAGAAGAACTTGAGATTGAAGAGCAAGAAAGATTAGAAAAATTAGAAGAACAACAAGAACTAGAAGCTAGAAGACAATTTGTTATTGAAGAAGAAGAAAAAGAAATTGATCCAAGAATGTTAGATCCCAAATTCGTTCATGCTATCAATATTCAGAGAATGGAAAGATCTCGAATGTGTATTACGGAAAGAGTGCATAAACGTTTTCAAGATCAAAATTTATATTTGGAATTAGCAGGGTTAAAAAAGCCGAAACAAAGGGAAGATATAAGGAAAGCAGGAGCGTTGATTATACAAAAATTATGTAGAAAATACATGGAAATTAAGCGCATTCATGCACGAGAAAAAAAATTAAAAGATAAGCTAGGTATGACTATGTCTTCATGGAAACCGCCTTCAGCTAAAATTCAATTAGAAAAGGTAAAGGAAGCAAGACGTAAATATAGACGTGCGTATTATGAACAATGGGTAAATGAAAATTTAAAAGAGAAAGCACGTGTTTTAAAACTTAGAGAAGGAGATGTAATGGATGATATAACTGATGAAATTAGACAGTGGTTTGTTGAGTGGTTCAGAGCAGAACAAGTATTTGATGAATTTCCTTGGGCTGAAGAAGGTGGATCTATATTAGTTGTTAGAGGAGAAACATTTACGGTTGAAGAATACGTGGAGTGGCGTACAGCTGAAGAAAAAAAAATGAAATCGGCAACACCGAAAAGTAAGGAACAGATCAAAGCTGAAAAACTAGCTGCAAAAGAAGAAAGAAAAAGACTAGCACAAGAAGCCAGAGACAGAGAAAGGAAAAGAATCCATGATTATAAAAAATCGCGTATGAACCCCGACAATGACCCTGGTATCAACTTTATGATTGGTCAACATCACAAGGGTTTAAAATTTCATTGGTGTGATTATGAAGCTACGTGGTGTGACATTGACAATCCAACAGCTGGTGTAGACGCAATGAAAGGACATATTATGCGATTAATAACAGAAAACGCCTACAAGGACCTAAAACTAGAATTACGTCCAATTGCTGATGATATTATGAGACTGGAATTAGAAATATTAAAAAACGCTCTCAAGACGGATTATGCAACTATAGGGAAGAAGATACCAATGACATTAAAAAGGAAAAAACCAAAAAAACCTAAGGTTCCGAAACCTGATAAATTATCTCCAATGGTTATGTTTCAGCGGTTGGCTGATAATGGTATTGTAAGACAATATCCTCATGTGACATTAGACGACTACTGGGGTGACAGAAATTATGCTGCTGCAGACTGCAGAGCCATTCTCTGGACCCCAACCTTCCCACCGGCTTGTATAGGTGACGTTAAAGAACAAGTAAGAATTCGATGTCTCCTGACTCTTGGGGCCACATGCGCAGGTCTGCAGCGAACACAGTTGCTCGTAGGCCCTAAAGGTGCCGGCAAAAAAACATTAGCGTATGCAATAGCTACCGAGACTAACTCTCTATTGATTGATCTATCACCTTTAACTGTTTATGATAAATTTGTAGGTGGAAAGAAAACTAAAATTATGTTAAATTATGTAAACAAAATAAGTAGGATAATGCAACCTACAGTTATACTGGTAGATAAAGCGGACAAGTTGTTTTATAAAAGGGTGCCAAAAGAAGAAAAAATGTTTGATCCAACGCGTCTATCAAAAGATTTTTTTAAAGAAATTGTGAAACCCCTTGGAACAAACGATAAGATATTAGTTATCGGAACAGCGACAGAACCTTGGCTGGCTAAAAACAAGCCTATGTTTAAAGCATTTCCATCAACAATTATGATTCCAAAATCGGACTATGGGAGTATCTCTTTAATATTAACGCAAATGCTGATGAAGTTTCACGGCGTTAATCGCGACTTTAATGTATCTTCTTTGTCGCAAGCTCTTAGAGGATACGATATTTGCACTATCCGATCAGTTGTTGAAAAATTGATGACTGGGAAACGTTTAACTGAGCTCAGTTACAAACCTCTTCACCCTATGGAAATTTTATCTGCGGTATTGAACTCAGAAAATGTCGCGATCATGGATCCAGTGGACAGCGAAATGTACAAGACCTGGTATTTATCATACTCGCCATGGGGAGAGAAGTTTATGGAATACATGCTAATGCTTGAGAGTCAATATACTATTAAATTGAAAAATGATAAGAAAAAGAAGAAAGCTGCTTAAACTGTAGTATACATTTTGGTATTTGCACACACATTATGGTACGAAACATGAACAAAATGTATGTGGTAGTTTGGCGACATGTTCACCCATTGTATATTTTGACATAATTTCTCATTTTGACTTTCAATACAAATTCATATTTTTCCTTGTTCTTACTTCCTAGTAGATATGATATAAACTTAATAATATCACTAATCTTAACAAAATAATAAAATACAAAATAAGCGAACTTACTCCCACCTGAATTGTGCCTCCCTCCTTAATTGTTTTTGTAACAAGCTTAGAGTATTTTGGTTAAATACTCTAAGGTAACAAGACCGAAAACATCTTTTTCACGTACCTACCTCTAATGTTATGTTTTTGAATTTTCATGCTTACCAACACAATATATATCCAGCTTACATAATTATATTTTGTGACTCCGAAAACTTGAATTTTTATGAGTAAGTACGTTTATCTAAAGGCCACCCCATCTACCCCAAAAAAGACATAATCTCACAATGACTTATGGCGAAGGGTGACGCCATTGGCTTCACAACCCCTCTGTATGGTTAGTTCACTATCGTTAAGATAGAGAGCGCTAGTCGCTTACAATAGCCAGCTTGGTTGTAAGTAAAGTTGGCTTTCTTCACGAGATGGCGCTTGTCTTAGTATAATTTGAAATGGTTTTTGTTTAAATGTTAATAGTAAACATAATACTGAAATTACATGTGATATACTTGTTGGTAGGTTTTTGGATATATGCATCAGAATTTTAGTCAACTTTACTATAAATTATACGAAATAAGATAATTGTAGTGAAAAATACGAGTATTTTTTATATATTTACATATTTCAATGTATGTGAAATTAGTATTTTATACAGAGTACATGACCAATTTCAATATTTTCAAACCAAACAAAACAACGGTCTTGTAAACCTATAAATTGTATTTGACCAATCGAAGCTGCGTTCTTAAGATAACAATCCGTCAGAGTGGCGGATAATAACGGGTATTTCGAAAAGTGGGTCGTAGGTGGGTGTTCGTCCGACAATACCCGGGCTTACACTGAGCCGGGCACCGCTGGCTTCACCTCTACGGATGTCGCTGTCTCCGTTCTCCGCCGCCATTTCCGTGCAGCGGGGCGAGGAGAGGCGAGGAGGTTCCGATGCTGCCGCACTACAATGGACCCTTTATATCTTCCTACCGCTAATCTAGGAGCTGATAATATGATTAGCCTCTTTGTACTCCGTTCATATGTTAATCGTTTGGATGTTTGAGCAGTTCCGCGGGTCGTTTAGGAACGTTCTTTTTGTGGTTCGAAATTGATGTTCGTATTTTATCATTCGTAATGTTTTACTTGTTTAAATTTTTCTAGAAATAGAGGCTTATAAGAAATATCTTATATTTTTTGGAGCATGTTATGTTCTGTAAGGTAAATTTTCTAAAAGATATTGAAATCTACAGTATCCTTTAGTTAGATGGTTTAACCACCAGCTGAAGAACGCATCATTATCTCAACAGTTATTGGAGTCAATATAATAAGGAAACCCTCAAGTAAGTTTGAAATCGGAATACCGTTTTGCGCAGGCGTGGTGATCAATATTCATACCTTCATCGATGATAAACCTCTCTGTTTCATATCAAATTCATAGTAAAGTAGCAACTTGTAGTAGTATCTATAATGAGCCCTATTCCCAGTTCCATACATTCACAGTTACATAACATCATTCTCTCAGAAAACCAGTAAAGATTTTTTCAAAGTCAAGGTCAAAATCAAATCATTTATTTCAACTAGACTAGTAAGGCATTAAAAAAGTGTATAATCAGATCGTGATTACATTTACTAATGCTTGCAGTCGTGATTCCTTGTCATATCATTTTGGGCAATAAAACATCTTACATAGGTACTTCATTCGTCTTTACTCTAGGACTTGTATTCAAGGCAAACTGAAAGCAATTTGGGGCTTGATCTGAAATGGCTTTGATAAAAGTTTGTTGCCCTGAAGCGGGGTGCGTTGGACCAAGTTGTCCCATCTGAAGCCAGTTCAGCACTGTATAAACTAATTTAAGTTGTCGCTGTAGAAAGTTTTTCAATGAAGGCTCGCCTTTGTCTGAGATCCACCAGACTGTTATGTTCTTTTCACAACCCTCTGGCGATTTAACTTGTGTGCCTGTGTTTACACCTGAAAAATGAATATTCAATTAATGAAGGCAGTTGGGGAGCGAATAATGTCTGTTTGATCGTTGATGTCTTTCGTCTGACATTGTAGAGGAATGGTTTAATTTATAATTGAATCTGATTTATTTTAATGGAATAAGTTTACCCACAATATATTTATTTTTGAAAAACGTACATTGAACAAGTTGAACAAATAATAGAGCGACAAACTTGAAGATATTCGGGATACAAATCAGCATATGTTGCTACCCTAAAAAGTGGGTTTTCTAATTGCTATGTTTTATAATTGATGTGCCTCGTACAATAAAAATCTTTCCACTTTGTAATATTACCAGACTGTAAAATGGTATCCAGCCACAAGTCTCATTGAGTCATCATAATGGACACTTAAATTGGATCGCAAGGTGCAGTTATGGAAACGATGAAGTATGGAACACCGTTCGGATACAATAGCTAATAGGGATGTCCGCCCAAGAATCAAACGCCACTTCACATCCTGAGAAGTAGCAAGATTGAAGAATTTAAAAGAGCAAGTCTTTATTAGGGGTCTGTGACGAGACTATTTTGTGTTGTCATGCCCAATAGTCATGTTAACGAAGTATCGTATCAGGTCAGGATCGGATAGTGTGAAAGACAGATATTATTGTACTATATAGATTTTATTTGCTTCGACATCGTGTTTTATCTGATATTAGTATCAGATCTGGTAGTCTGAAAATGGCGATAAACAATAGGCATGAATACAATTGTTAGTGACAATGATAAAAATAACAAAGCCTACTAATATTAAAAATTACATGAAACAAAATGTAAACTAAGACTGCACAAAATCTCGTCCCGATTTTGATGCCCTTTAGTTAGATTAACCTATATGTATGTTTCGTTTGATATTTTGATCTTATTATCCAAGCTAGGACCATTTATTTATCCAGTATCCTTTCGTCAAAACAGCGTAATTACAAATTTAGTTTTCAATCTTATAAATTAAAGACCGTATCTGAATGGAAATATTTTCCAATCTATTGAGGCTAAAAGTCCATAACTACATTTCAAAGAGGGGCACAGATTTGATTATATAGAAATCAGGAATGGCTTCTAGTAAAATGTAGGTCGTTCGGTTCTAGTGTCTGACGATGACATTTCTCCGATAAAATGCTATAACAGCCGGGAATTGTTTTATGAATTTTAAAGATATTAGTAGGATATTCAAAGTGAAGCTATTGGGTAACTTACCACCAGATTGCTGTGTGGTTTCAACAGTATCTGGTGATATAGCCAGCCTAAAACATACTTAGTTTTTGTTTCTTTTTTTTATGATTCATGAACGTAAAACTCTGCTATCTATCCGTCTATGCAACTGCCTGTGTCTAGATTGGCATTACTATATATATATTTTATTATATTACCTCTATAAAACAAAATATATGTATACGCCGTCTGTCTGTCCCTATGTATGCTTAGATCTTTAAAGCAACGGATTTTTAATAGATATAGTGATTCTTAAGGAAGGTACGTTATACATATAAACTTTCCATAAATTCGCGAAGCCGGGGCAGGTCGCTAGTACACAATAATGAAATAAACATAAATAAGCCACTTACAATTATGTTTAATTTTTTTATTTTCAAATACAAATTCATTTTTTTTCCTGTTCAGTTTGTTGCCGAATTTGCATAAAGTTACTCGCTGCTTCAAAATATCTTCAATACATTGATAAAGTAATTGTTAATAGAGTACAACATGTGGTTTCGTTTTCATTGTAATGCCTATTGTTAGGAATTATTATGTCCGCCGGAGGTTCATTATGCCCTTATTTAGACACAGCCCATTGACTAATTACACAACAGAATGCTTGCTTTGTCACCAGCACTATACCTAATTGCCTAACACTTCTTTATATTACTATTTTCTTAATTATAATAGACAGGAGTTGGGTTTTAATCTTTATTCGAATATTATTTAAGGTCAATATTATCTAAACGATCTTTAGATTTCCTCTCAAGGATAATTTGATGGCGAACCAATGAAGGTGATTCCTACTTAATCTTCTGTTATTTATTTATCAGTTTGGAAACCACAGCTATTCAATTTGATTCTAAAGAAGATCTTGCTTTTTCAAACACCCATTGTTAGACATTTCGTGTTTCTCTTGACTGGAACGCAGCCGGGGAATAAAATCATCAAATTGTTGAAATCAACTTTTGCTGTCGTAGACTAAAACTTTATCTTGGATTTAACAATTATAAACCTAATAAATAAATCATACAATTAGGTTCAGAAAGTAAACAAGCCAATGACAATGACAAAAATATGTAAAACCAGTCAATAAAATATCTACTCAATAACGCCAAAGTAAATTGAAAATCAAAATCATTTATTTCAATTAGACCAGGATGGCCCTTTTGAACGTCAACAACAAAAATTTAGAAGTGAAGCTGGTTGCTCATTCCAAGGTGTAGATTCATATGGAGAAGAACGAGCAAGAAACTCCATAGGTTACTCTTTTTCAATCAGGTTTACAATACAATTCTCTAGTTACATAGTTTTAATAATAATATAAAAGTAACATGGAGAAACATATATTTTAGTTATTACTCTCTACCGCACATAAATTTAGGTAGTCCTTGATTCACCTGGATTGGAAAATGCAAGGATTATGGAAATATAAGATGCCAATCTCCTTACATTTCCTGGAGTAGAATAGAACTACATCCAACAACGTTATAGTGGTTTGAAGCATAGGTATTGTCCCACAATTTCAACACATAGTAGTTCCCACTGATGTGGGAGGTCCGGGATAAAACTTATTCCGTATCTAAACTATATCTATACCAGGT